CCTTTGTGCACTGTGTCTGCTGTTTTTATATACATGCAAAGAATCAGGTTCAGATCTGCCAAATGCTGGAAAACGTGAAATCATTTCCGGGCACTATCTCGGTTTTCCAATTCTTTTGTTCTTCTAAAATACAAAGTTCTCTTCCATGCTATTTTACATTCAGCTAAAAGTTGTTCAGTGCAATGTTTACAGAGGCCCTAAGGTGTTGGCTAATGCGTTAGATGGTGTGAGATGCAGTCTTGCTCTTGGGAGGTTCACACCATGGTTGGCCACAACCTGTAAATCGACGCCATTCTGTGTCATAGATGCTGCTATACAAATAGGGTAAGGGCGCCTGAGAGGGCAAACGTGGGAGTAGTTATTTCTTTCCTCCTAAGGGTCAGAGAAGCCGTCACGGGGCACTGGCACGGATCAGAGTTTTCCATGAAGAGGAGCTTTCAAGACAGGCAAATTGAGGACAGGACATTTAGGGCAGAGGGAGGAGCATGAGCAGGGGCGGTGATGAGGTTGGGGAGCTCATGCAGGGTGTTCTTTGATACATACAGAAGTTTGGGCTTTCTGTTGCAGGCAAAAGAGAGTCAAGCTTTGGTATATTCAGGTTTTCATTTTAGAAAATCACTCTGGCGGCGCCTGGGTGGCGCAGTCGGTTAAGCGTCCGACTTCAGCCAGGTCACGATCTCGCGGTCTGGGAGTTCGAGCCCTGCGTCAGGCTCTGGGCTGATGGCTCAGAGCCTGGAGCCTGTTTCCGATTCTGTGTCTCCCTCTCTCTCTGCCCCTCCCCCGTTCATGCTCTGTCTCTCTCTGTCCCAAAAATAAATAAACGTTGAAAAAAAAATTAAAAAAAAAAATAAAAAAAAAGAAAAAAAGAAAATCACTCTGATAACCAGGTGGAGAATGAAGTAGGGTATTTATGCTTTCCTCAGACAGTGCTTCTAGAATATAAATAGAGCAAACATGGAGTTTTCTTCCTCGTTGCTTTAAAGGAAACTTTGTAAGAAATCCCGATACATTCGCTTACAGAACAAATGATTTGTTCTTTAGGTAAGTTATCTTTTTACAGCATTTCAGTGCTTTGTGTTCAGATTTAAGAATTCCGACTCTCTCCCCCGGGCGACACCAGATGAATTCTGACTCTCTCCCCCGGGAGCAATACCATATGAATTGCGACTCTCTCCCCCAGGCAACACCAGATGCTACGGCAGTACAGTAAAGCAGCTCACTGCCTCACTCTTCCTGCCCCTTTCTCTCTCAGGCTTTCCCATCGAGTTGCCCAAGCCAAATGCTTAGACATTTCGTTGGCTCTTCTCCTCTCTGTTGCCTTTTAGGCCAATCAGTAAGTCCAGTGGATTCTGCCTCCAAAATAAAATTGCTGTCCTTGCCTTCTTCTCAATGATGCTACCACCTGCTCTCGATCTCCAGCCCCTCTCCCTGGGACATTTCCTCATTCTCGCTCTCCTGCTTCAACCATTTCACTAGCTTTTTGCACTTAGAATAAAAAGCGAACTCCCCGTTGTGGCCACATCTTCTGGCTCTTATCTCCCTGAACCTCATCTCTGGACGTTCTCCTTCTGCTCCAGCTGTTCTTTGCCCTTACGGTGGCCTGGAAACACTTCTCTTCTTCCAAGAAGCTCTTAGGATTTGGTGCCTGGCAAATACTCCCTGAACTTAATAGCATAATGATATCATAATTATAACACTTTCTGCCATTTATTGAATGTTTGCTGTAACCCAGACAGTGTGCTAAGTGCTCTGCAGCCATTACTGTATAATTAAATTAGATGCAACAAGCTTGTGAAGTAGGTATTATTATTGCTGTATTTCAAGAGGGGAAATTAGGGCACAGAGAGCTGAAGCAACTTGCCCACGATCCTATTTTTGGTGTCTGATGGAGCCTGGCTTGCAGTCTGTCTGTCTGACTCCAAACCGAGCTCTTTGGTACGAAGTTTCAAAAATATTTTGTTATCATCAAAATTTACAATTCCTAAAATTTTTGATAAGCATAGAGAAAGTCAGGTGAAATGGCATCCAACTATTTCATTAAACTGTTTAATATCTTTAACAGTGATTTCACTTATCACATGAGTTTGTATGGAAATTTACGTGCATAATAAGGTGAGACATTTTGCAAAACAAAGATTATTATGAAAGTAGCAGCTATTTTTAATTTTAGAGTTTCAACATGTAAACATCTTGTTTGCAGGGCACCTGGGTGGCTCAGTCGGTTGAGCTTCCGGCTTCGACTCAGGTCATGATCTCACGGTTCATGAGTTCCAGCCCTGCGTCGAGCTCTGTGCTGACAGCTCAGAGCCTGGAGCCTGTTTCAGATTCTGTGTCCCCCTCTCTCTGCCCCACCCCTGCTTGTGCTCTGTCTCTCTCTGCCTTTCAAAAATGAATAAATATAAAAAAAAATTTAAAAAAAAATTACAATTCCTGGAAGACAATCTTAGAGCAAGCTATAGAGAACATCTCATACTGAAAGTGAAAGTAAACGTTCATATACCTTAACTACCTTATTGGTGGCAACAGATTTTTCTCAGTATTTTATGTCTCGTTAATAATAAAAGATGGTATGGCACAGAAATGGGGAGTAAACTCTGGAGTCAGACAGACATGTGTTTAAACTCAGTACCTGCTCTTCATTCATATAGATCCTAATATCGTGTGTGCTGAATGATATTTTTGGCACTTGAGGTATATCAGTGGGCAGTCCAGTGAGATGGGTTTTTAAACTTTGGTTCTATGAGCTGTTTTTGACTTGGAGACTCACTATAGCATTTTATGAATTCAGTATAAATGTGACCCTTCCTGGACCCCACCCCAGTGGAATCTATTTGAGTCAGTCCTGTGACGTGTCTCCTAAGAACATTCTCAGAGCAAGACTAAAAGTTCAATTTGCTGTAAGTGTAATTTCCTTCTTCCTTCCTTTCTTCTTTCCTTCCGATTAAAATGAAGCATTAAATTTAACTTTATTAGGTATAATAAACTCAGGTAACTTCTACTCTAATAGAGGTAGCACAATAAACGTAGTACGTGCGAAAATTACATTATATGTTAGAAGAGGAAAGTCCTTTGTGTGAGGGAGTAAATAAGATGAGGGAAAATCAGGGGAGCTCGTTGTGGTATTAAATAAGAGGTCAGTGAGGTGGGTCTCACTGAGAAGGTCAAAGACTTGAAGGAGGTGAAGGAGTTGCTCAGATGGATATCTGAGGGAAGGGTGGCCCAGGAGGAGGGAGTAGGTGGTGTCCAGACCTAAGAGGAGCATTGATGGCAGCTTAAAAACAAAGCACCATTGTGGACAGAGGGGAGAAAGGGATGGAGAGATACTAGATGAGGCCAGAGGGTTCTCAGGGTCTTGTTGGTGATACTGAAATGAACTTCATACACGAGGCATGTGGCCACAGGGGCTGGCCCAGAATCACAGAGCCCCTGCCCACCTCCTCCAGCCACAACTCTTGCTGCTCTATCGCTGCAAACCCTACCCTGCGTTTATAACCGAAAGTCCTTTGAAGATTTCCCAAATATGCATGCTGTTTTAAGCCCTTCTACTTTGCACACACCTCAGGTACACATTTCCATCCCTTGTCATTCTGATAAACTCCTTCAAAACCCACCCTGAGCCCTCTGGACTTTCTCTGGACCACCATGCATAGTGATTTGACTGTGTGTTTGTTACAGTCACACACAGCTAATGATAACATGTGATGAGCGCTTACTGTATGCCATGCAATAAGTCTTCTATATGTTTTTTTTTTAATTTTTAATTTTTTATTTATTTATTTATTTATTTCAATGTTTATTTATTTTTGGGACAGAGAGAGACAAAGCATGAACGGGGGAGGGGCAGAGAGAGAGGGAGACACAGAATCGGAAACAGACTCCAGGCTCTGAGCCATCAGCCCAGAGCCCGACGCGGGGCTCGAACTCACGGACCGTGAGATCGTGACCTGGCTGAAGTCGGACGCTTAACCGACTGCGCCACCCAGGCGCCCCAAGTCTTCTATATGTTTTTAATGCATTCCTCACAACAACCCTCTAAGGTATGCCCTGGTACCATCCCCATTTTATAGATGAATAATAAAGGCATGAAGAAGTTCAGTAACTTGCCTAAGATCATTCAGCCACTAAGTGGTGGCCTTAGGAGGTACACATAAGGTTTCTGGCTCTAGACCCCATGCTCTTAATCATTACATTATATTGCCCCTCTACGTTGTCCACCATTATTAAATACTATATATGAGGCAATGTATACATCACACTTGACTGTAAATATTAGTTTGGTGTATGTGTCTCCTATATTATTTGTGACTATTTGGAGGGCAGGGAACCATGTCAAATTCACCTTAGCTCTTTGGGGCTTTGCACATGCTCTGCCTTGGTTGAGTCGAAAGAAGAAAACATTCTCTCATGTAATTTGTAAGACCTGGGAAATAATATTCAAAATGTCAATGATAGGGTGTCATTAACTCTGAATTTTCCTTTTTTTTTTAATGTTTATTTTTATTTTATTTTATTTTATTTTATTTTTAATTTTTTTTTTAACGTTTATTTTTGAAACAGAGAGAGACAGAGCATGAACGGGGGAGGGTCAGAGAGAGGGAGACACAGAATCTGAAACAGGCTCCAGGCTCTGAGCTGTCAGCACAGAGCCCGACGCAGGGCTCGAACACACGCAACGTGAGATCATGACCTGAGCCGAAGTCGGATGCTTAACCGACTGAGCCACCCAGGCGCCCCTTTAATGTTTATTTTTAAGAGAGTGAGAGAGACAGCGTGCAAGCAGGGGAGGGCCAGAGAGAGAGGGAGACACAGAATGAGGAGCAGGCTCCAGGCTCCGAGCTGTCAGCACAGAGCCCGATGAGGAGCCCGAACCCACGAATTGTGAAATCGAGACCTGAGCCGAAGTCGGACACTCAACTGACTCAGCCACTCAGGCACCCCTGAATTTTACTTGGTTTTGAATTTGATTTTCATCATGTTGTTATGCTTCTGTTTCTCCCCAGACCAGTATTAAAGAGGGACAGCTATTGAAGCAAACCAGTTCTTTCCAGAGGTGGAAAAAGCGTTACTTCAAACTTCGAGGCCGTACACTTTATTATGCAAAGGACTCAAAGGTAATTTGGGAGAATATTACTTGCAAGCGCTTGAAGTTGTGAATGGATTAAAAATTTTGGTTCTGTAAACTTTTTGTCTTAGTGCTCACGATAGCCTTAACTGTTCTGTGCATTTAGTATGAATGTGATCCACTTTGGACCAAATCCCAAGGGAGTCTATTTAAGTCAATTTCGTGGCATGTCCACAAAGGACAATCTTATGGGAAGGTTCTAAAGTAGTTTTCTTTCTTCCTTTCCGCTTCCCTTACAATTAAAGTAAAACTTTAAGTGTAAAGTTTATTAAATGTAATAAACTCAAAAATGTTGGGTTTCCCTCTTTTCTTGCTACCTTTTTACCTTATAAATCTTTCCCTGACCATGAGAGAGAGGATTGCTATAGTTGCTAAGAATCCATACTCCAATTTCAGACAAGATTCGTATCCCAATTCCAGCACATTCTAGTGGAGTGGCTGTGGGCAGCATGTGTTGTTCTGGGGAGGCTTAAATGAGATAATACAAACAATCATTCCATTGTGCTAGCAGTTAAGAATAAAAACCACAGTGAAATAGAATCAAGGCTTTAAATGATTGTTACATAACAGTTGAATAAAATAAGAGTGATGTGGTTGGGTAAGAAAAAAATGAGTAATGATGAGCTTCCATTTAAAACTGACATTTTAATATTCCTTGAGAAGTTAACATTAAGATGTCTTGCTGCTGTCTCACTTGGATAATTGATAATTTCCATATTAAAAACTGTATGTTTCTGATATAATTAGAGTTATATACCAGGAGATAAAATCAAATATGCAAACAAACCTAATTCTTGGTCTGTGCAGCTGTAGAAGTAATAACCAAACCAAGTAATTCTATTTTAAAAGTCGTTATGTTCTAGGTTGTCCCTGATCTGGCTCCATGCTGACTTTTCACATTCATCTCTAGGGAAGCATTGGCCATTTGACAGCCTTCGGCCTCGCCCCATGTGTACCATCGGCAGATGACTTTCCCTCTGTCTCCACTTGATGAAACTCCCTGCTTTCTTTAAGATCCCCTCAAATATTCTTACTCCATCATTCATGAGAGCAAGAGTTCAAGTGTCTTCTGCTGGAGAAATTATTTGAATTTCATAGTATTCTGTCGGATTTCTTCTTTTCCACTTTTAATAGTCTCTCTTGCATTAAAATGGGTTGTGTCTGTTTCTTCTCCTATGCTAGATTTTAAGTTCCTTCTGGTCAGGGAACAAGTCTAACAGGTTGGTTGGAGTGAAGTAGACTCACAAGTGCCCTGGAGATCTTGGGGGTGGTGGCGGAAGCTATGAGAGGACGGTCCCTTGTCTGCAGCCCCAGACGTATGCTGTCATCCCTGCCCTGCTGCAGGGACGCGGAATGAGTGCGAAAATGGCCAAATGACCCAAAGTGGGACGGATACGTTCATTTACTAGAATCTCCTAATCTCCAAATGGAACACTAATATTAAAGATTCCGTTTCTCTGGAGTTTTTCTCACAGGAACTTTTTTTGATTGAAACCATTTTTAAGAGTACAAAGGAAACTTCCATTTTATATTTGCAGAGCACATTCACCTTCTCATCTGAACCCATGTATGGATGAGGAAAATAGGGTTCAGAAAGTTCAGGAACTCACCATGATCCGACCCAGGACTAGTTCTCATTTCTCACTTAGCAAATGTGGGAAGGAGGATGTTTGCCTGCTGGCAAAGTTGTTACAGGCCGTTTGTTGCGTGTCAGGAGGTGTTGCTTTGTGTGTACGTGTGTGTGACACAGTTAGGAGGTTCCCCATAAATTATGCTTCTAGAGGGCACACAGCATTTTGCATTGAAACACTGTGCCAGGGTTCTTTAAAGACCTTCCCAGTTTGTGATTTAAGAGTTAATTGTGCTTCATGGTTTTACTCACTCTTCTTAAGAAACGGCAAAGTGTCACGAATGACTTTCCTTTCCTTTTCTATTCCTAATTCCTGACATCGCTTCATAGTCATGGCCCGATAACAACAACAACAAAATTATTGACGAGCATTGAGTTAGGTTTTCATTTAATGTGTTTGTGTTCTTTTTCATTAACAGTCTCTGATATTTGATGAAGTCGACCTCTCAGATGCCAGTGTAGCTGAAGCAAGCACCAAAAATGCTAACAACAGTTTCACGGTATGGTTCTATTCTGCTGACTCCCTTCTCAAAAGTCATAGAATGACCTTTCCTAAACAGGTACAGAAAGTCCTCTTAGTTACCAACTGTGTGTCAACTGTTGTGCGTTGGAATTCCTGCCAACTCAATACACTTGATGAGTACGTTGTGTACCCAATACTTTTCATGATTGTTTGGGTCAATAAACGAAGATATTAAATGTATTTTTTTTTTAAGTATTTACAGTGTTTTCCATTTTGGACCTTTTAGTTTTTGTGCTTTAACATTTTTACCTCTTTTAAGTTTATTTATTTGAATTTTTTAATTTTTAATTTTATTTTAGAGAGAGCACAAGTTTGGGAGAGGGGCAGAGGGAGAGAGAGAGAGAGGGCGAATCTTAATTTTTTTTTTTAACATTTATTTATTTTTTGAGATAGAGAGCATGAACGGGGAGGGTCAGAAAGAGGGAGACACAGAATCTGAAACAGGTTCTAGGCTCTGAGCTGTCAGCACAGAGCCCGATGCGGGGCACGAACCCACGGACCATGAGATCATGACCTGAGCCAAAGTCGGATGCTTAACCGACTGAGCCACCCAGGCGCCCCGAGAGAGGGAGAATCTTAAGCAGGCTCCACGCTTAGCAAAAAGCCTCATATGGGGCTCGATCCCACGAACCTGGGATCATGACCTGAGTTGAGATCAAGAGTCAGACACTCAAAACTGAGCCACCCAGGTGCCCCTCACTTCCTTTAAATGTAATACTTTAATTCTGTTGTTTATGAATATTCAAAAAGGAATGTTTTTTCCTTCTGTTCTACTTTTGCTCTGTTGCTGCAGTTCAGGTGGTTGCTATAGTTCAGGCCTTCACTTATTCTCACTTAAGTAATTCATTTGATAGCTACTTAAGAGGTAGCCTCGGTTTCAGCGAATTCCTTCCCGATTACAAATCACGTTGCCGGAAGGAACTCACTGGCTCGCTGTTGCCCGTCAAGTGGCGTTTGCGGCTCCAACCTAAAGTCTCATAAAATCACGCCTCGGCGTTCTCGTGTTCCTGAGACTCTGTCCTCGTGCAGCTCCCTGGTCCAGCCTTTCTGTCTGTGCTCGGGCTTTTCCCGTTCCCTCTGGCTCGAATGATCCCTCCTCCTTCTGTAGCTGTTGGAATTCTGCCACTTCTGCAAAGCGTATCCACGTATCTCAATCTTCCTGTGCTTCTTTCATTCAAAAAATATGATTTGAATACCCACTGTGCGCTAGTCACAATACAGTGCAGTGAAGTCCATCTGGGGTACTTTTTATAACTTCATATTCCTAGGCCCTCTAAGATGCACTGCTCTTGCTGTGTTCTTGCCCCCTGCACACTCCCAGCCCCTGCTCAAGAAGCTACCACTACTGACAGAGGCGAGCTGTGTCCCTCTCCCAGGCATGCCAGGGCAGGGAAGGCAGACAGATGAACAAACACAGAGCAGTGCCGCGGTAGAGGTAAGCACTGGCAGGGGTGGGGGTGGGGGAGGAAGCAAATGCATTCAGATTTAGCCATATTGATTTATGGGCACGTGGGATAATTCATGGTGTAAATATTCCTGCCCCTCCCCCTTCCCCAGGGAGAGTTTAGTTTGAGGAGAGGAAAGCCAAGAATAGAATCCTGGGAAAATGTTAAAATTTCAAGTTGGACCAATAAAGACAGAGCACTCGGAAGTATACGAGGAGTTTTAGAAGGTGATGATGTTAGGAAAAGCCTGTGGAAGATAGTTTTAGGACGGAAGTTGCAGACATCAAATACTGCAGAGAGGTCAAGTCAAAGGAGAGATGAAAGCGTTTATGGAATTTGTTACCTTGGAGGTGACTGGGTCACACTGATGGGAATGACTTCAGGGACCGGGTGGAATGCATTAGGCTGCACTCCGGAACAAGGCGGGAAGGCAGGGAGGCCGGGGTGGATTGCTGGTTTGAAAAGCTTGGCTGCTAGAAGGAGAACAAGTATAGCTAGAAGAATGTTCAGGCTTGAAGAGAATTCTGGTTTTGTTGTTGTTGCTTTGCTTTGTCTTTAAAATGGGCTTTGAGTGTGTATGAAGAGAGAAAAGAAGTGTTAGACTCAAAGTTGGAGTGTCCAGGAAGTAGGGGGAGAATGGACGGAGCATGACTGCCAAATAAGCTGAAGGGTGTGGGAGCCAGAGCTCATGTAAAGATCAGCATTGATTAGGAGACAGAAAGTTTATGGAGTTAAGTGTGTGCGGGAAGTTCATTCATCTCAAACCTAAATACTACTGTTTTCTTCATGAAATTGAAGACAGGGTCATCTGCCCTGAGTAAGAGTTTAGGTGGCTTTGGAGTCGCTTCTGTAGAAAATGAGAGTTGGCACTGAACAGGGACCTGTAGTAGATTATGAGGTGGTAAATAATGTCTAGCAAACATCGAGGTCAAGTTTAATAATGCACCTTATTTCCATGCCTTTCGCATTTTCTTTAGGATGGGGAGAGGGAACAACTAAATTGATCCAGGGTAGATGGTTTGTAGGATGTATCAGACAGAAAGGTAAAGGGATTATTGGATGTTTGAGGGATCAATAACTCATCCATCTTCCCTTCTGTGTTCTCGGTTCTTGAGAATAAAACGTAGGGAGTGAGGGACGGCTTTATTCATGGCTGAACAAGACCCAACAACCATTAAGTACAGAGCTTCTGATAAATTGTTGCTTCTTTTTCCTTCCTCCCAAGTGAAGGTGGGGTAGGATGATGAACCACTTGCCTTCCCTAGTAGTCCTCTCTCCTCTGTGGACACTGGACGCTCATGGGGGAGTGGACAATAAGAGTTTCCCCCCAAAAGGGATCTAGAATTTAGTTTGAGGGGCGCCTGGGTGGCGCAGTCGGTTAAGCGTCCGACTTCAGCCAGGTCACGATCTCGCGGTCTGTGAGTTCGAGCCCCGCGTCAGGCTCTGGGCGGATGGCTCAGAGCCTGGAGCCTGTTTCCGATTCTGTGTCTCCCTCTTTCTCTGCCCCTCCCCCGTTCATGCTCTGTCTCTCTCTGTCCCAAAAATAAATAAACGTTGAAAAAAAAAAAAAAAGAATTTAGTTTGAAAGAGGGTTCCAAAATTTAAGATTTGGAAGATAGAACAATTTCAGGTAAAGATGAGGTCCAAGGTGTTGGTGTATATAAAGGTAAAAGGAAGTGAAAAGCTTGAATTTAAGAGAAGTTATTCAGATCCTTTGCATAGCTCTTTCTTGGCCTACAAGTACATTCAATCTCTCCTGTTGTATCTTTTTTATTATAGAACTCACTATATTCTGCCTTTTTATTTAATTAGGTACTTATGTTTATTATCAGCTCCCTGAGGACAGAAACTCTGTCATGTTGTTTTACCTCATATTAACTTACCCATAAGTATTTGTTGATTTAATTAATAAGATGAAAGTTTATTTTACACATGAGAAGACTTTTGGTTGAAATATTTTCAAGAAATTTGTCCACTCAACCAAACGTTATTCCTGAAGTTTGTTGGTCCAGAAATGGGGAGACTAAAATGTTAGGCAGATTGCTTAGAGTCTTATAGCAAATCAGTTTGGTAGAACTTTCTATGGCATAAAATAGAATAAGAGATAGATTTTCAACCAATAATTGGCAATCCTCTCTATCTTTAAATATTTAAATATCCTACCTTTCTGGATTGCATTGACTGCTATTAATGCTGTTATTTTAGCTAGTTCATGTCGAAGGTTAATGGTGTAGTTTGGTGGTATTATGGCTAGAGAATACAGGAATGGCCACATTCAGCTTCACTACAGCCATGCCTTGAAGTCCCTAAGGATGATATATTGACAAGGGACAATAGTAAATGGAAAATCTATAATTAGCAAATGGAAAATGGAAATGCAGTGCTTTGCCTGAAAACCCAATGCCAAGCTCTCTAGTAGAACGGGTCCTAGAGCACTGTTTTAGAGACCACAGCAGAAACTGACTTAACATGAGAGGTTACTCAGCATCATTTCTGCCACATTCTGTGGCTTACGAGTGAGTCACTAAGGCTGACTGAGCTTCAAGGGAGGGAACATAAACACCATGAGCATTGCGTCACAGGACTTGTGGACATGGTTCAGACCTGCCTACTTGATGGTTACTTTTCCTTCCTTGCACAGTCCTGTGCTCCCATCCTTGGAGTGAATAATTTTCTTGGTGATTTTTTTGTTGGTTGTCTTAGTCACCTCAGGTACATGTTAGTTTTCAATTGCTTTGTAACAAATTACCACAAACTTTGTGGCTTAAAACAACGCCCCTTTGTTAGCTGACTGTTTCTGTTGGGCACACAACATCACCAAATTCCTTTCCTCCGGATCTCACAGTGTTGAAATAAACAGATTTTTAAATATATACAGATATGTGTATGTACACATCCATACATGCATATTTAGCCCTAAAATTGGGCTAATTTTAACCAAGGTTGGAGTTTCGGGTTTTACATGTGTCTTCTGCAATAGACGGCAGTGACAATAACAACAAAAAACTGAAAGCATTTTCCGTGACATTAGGTGTCAGTGATGTGATCAGGGAATGGAAAAGGACAACCCTGACAGCCTTCTTGGCAATTTATAATCCTTCAGGATTCATTAACGTTCATCACGAATTTATGTGTAGTTTAAGTTCTACCATAGCATGTCTACAATTGTGGCATCTACGAGACGTTCTTAATTTTGTCGTTCATTTTCTAATTGTCTCATTTCCTTCCTTTTTTCTTGTTTTATTGATTTCTGCATGGTGTTCTGGTGTTTTATTTCCACTTTCACGTTTTAATTTTAACACACCACTGTGCTGTAGGCAAAGGTGTTCTTCTCTTAGACCGGAGAGAATTGACTTCCCCTTGGTCACACCAGTGCCTCCTGGGGAAGGGTCCCAGCCCTCCTGATGCATAAGACAGGGTGCTTCCTTCTCACACAGTGTTCTTTCCATCTGGTTAGTCTTTGCCCCTGTTCTCTCTCTCTTCTCACCTCCGCTGCTCTGTTTGTCTCTTTCTCACTTACCATGATGCGTAT